TCTCATTTATGCTTTTCAGAGGAAAGACTAGTGAAGATCAATTGCAGTTTAATCCTGAGATTGAACGATCAGCTAAAAGTAATAGGAAGAAGGCAAAAGCGAAGAAAAAGCATGGTATTCAAGAGACACAATTTAGTTCTCAACAGACAACAATTGTAGAGCTTTAATCTGTCAAAATGGAAAATACAAATGCTCCTCCTGGAAATAATGAGAGAGCTACTCCTCCAACAATTGTATACCTTCCTCTTGGTTGTATCCTTGGGCTACTAGTCTAGCCTTTTTTTTAATGATTATATCATTTTCATCTGATTTATTACGGAACACCCAGCGAGTTCCTATTACATGCCTATTCTTAGATCTAGGAACAAGTTCCCAAACTTTGTTTCTCTCAACCTGGTTAAGTTCTTCTTGCATGGCAAGAATCCAGTGCACATCCTCGATTGCTTCATCAATCTTAGATGGTTCTATTTGAGAGACAAATGTCATGTTTAGACATGCATTTTCTAGCATTAAGCGGGTGGTAACACCTTTGCTAATATCGCTAATAATGTTGTCTATAGGATGATCTTGATGAGTTATCCACTCTTTAGGTAAATCAGAGTGAATATGCTCTTCTTAAATGGAAGGATTATCATCCACTTCCACATGCTCTATATTAGGTGCAGTTTCAATAATAGCATTTTTATTAAAAGTAGGATTAGGAAAATCTTCTTCATCAATAGTCAACCTTTCCTTGATTAGAGGATTGGTTTCATCAAAGGAGACATAGACAAATTCTTCCATGGCTAGAGTTCTTTTGTTAAAGACTCTATAAGCTTTACTCGTGAGAGAATAACCTAGGAAGATTCCTTCATCTGCCTTTGCATCAAACTTGCCTAAGTTTTCTTTGTCATTATTCAAGATGAAACATTTACAACCAAATACATGCAAGTGTGAAATGTTTGGTTTTATTCCTTTGATGAGTTCATAGGGGGTTTTCTTTAGAATGGGTCTTATTAGAACTCTATTTGAAACATAACAAGCGGTGCTTACCGCATCAGCCCAAAAGTACTTTGGGAGGAGGTTAGTTTCATTCAACATTGTTCTAGCGAGTTCTTCTAAAGACCGATTCTTTCTCTCTACAACACCATTTTGTTGTGGTGTTCTAGGAGCAGAAAAGTTGTGATTAATCCCGATATCATCACAAAATTCCTCAAAAGAAGCATTTTGAAACTCTCCCCCATGATCACTTCTTATACAGCGATTTTAAGTGACTTTTCGTTTTGGACTCTTTTAGCATAAGTGCTAAAGGCTTTGAAAGCCTCATTCTTATGTACTAAGAATAGAGTACAAGTGTAGCATGAAAAATCGTCTACTATAATAAGAGCATAGTAGTTACCACCAAGACTTTTCGTCCTTGAGGGGCCAAATAAGTCCATGTGTAGTAACTGCAATGGTCTCTCCGAAGAAACCATATGCTTTGGCTTCAAAGAGATTTTTGTTTGTTTACCCATTTGACATGCACCACATAGTTTGTCTTTAACAAACTTTATCTTGGGTAAACCAACAACCAAATCTTTATTCATTAGCTTATTCAAATAGTCCATATGTATGTGAGCAATTCTCCTATGCCAAAGCAATGCATCATGAATGTCATTTACAACTAAATATGTTATAGGAAGAGATGAATCTATATCTATCATGTAAATGTTATTAATTCTCTTACCAACAAGTTTAGAGTTTAGAAATTCCTTAATTTCAATGCTGCACTTATCTGGGTAGAATGATACATGGAAGCCCTTGTCGCAAAGTTGACTTATGCTTAGAAGATTGTGCCTAAGTCCTTCCACATACAACACTCCTTCTATGGTTGTTGAAGGTGGCTTGCCGATTCTACCGAATCCAAGAATTCTTCTTTTGTTGTTGTCACCATATGTGACATAGCCTTTGTCCCTTGGAGTGAGGGCAGATAAATTACTTTATCGTCCGTCATATGCTTTGAGAAACCGCTATCCAAGTACCATAAATTGCGGGCGGCGCTCAATTCTACCTGCAAAACAGGTTAAGTTATATTAGGTACCCAATTTTTATTGGGTCCTTCATGGTTAGTTCCTTTCTCAACCCATTTAAAATATCCTAAAGGGATACCATATTTTCTTATTGAACAAGTGTTTGGTGTATGCCCATAGTTTTTACAATAAGAGCAAATAGGTTGATGCATATGTATCCTAGATTTATGTTTGCTATTTGTAAATGCATGGATACATGTTTTCCGAAAGTCTGTTGTGATAGACTTACTTTGTTTTTTAAGAGCAAGGCCTTTTCCATAGCCAAGACCTCTTCGGTCCGTATAGTGTCTTTGATCATTAATGATTTTACTCAAGCTCTTGCTACTCTTGTTCATTTTGTTGAGTTCAAGACTCAATGTAGAAACTTTGTTCCAAGAGTAATGCAATTTAAACATGAGGATGATGGAGGTATGTTTCTAAGAGAATCTAGTTCTGATTTTTGTTTTAGAAACATTTTTGATAATTTCATGTATTCATCATGTAGATCATTAAAAGTAGTTTGCAACTCGGAAGAAGAAAAAGGGATAGATTCATTTACCTCTTCATCGTCTGAATGATGAGACACCATTAGGGAGAGATGCGCCTGCTCTTCGCTTTCTGGTTCAGAGGCTGAACTTGTCTCGTTGTCTTCCCAAGCAATATAGGCTCTTAGTCCTTTCTTTAATTCATTCTTTCCTTTGAAATTACTCTTCTTGATGTTTGGATAGTTCATCTTCATGTGGTCAGGTTTGCCACACTCAAAGCATGTAAAAGTCTTATTTGAAGTGGTGGCCTCATTGCTTTTGGAGAACTTCTTCATTTTCCCAGTTCTTGTGCCTTTGTTCATTCTTAGGAACTTGCCGAAATTCTTAACGAAGAGGCTCATGTCATCGGTCTCTTCCTTGTCGTCTTCATCTTCTGATAAGTCATATTTCTCAGCTTTTGCTTTGAGAGAAATGTTCTTCTTCTTTTTCTCTTGTTCCTCCTGTTGATCAAGTTGACTCAATTCGAGTTCGTGTTCCTGCAACTTACCAAACAGAGCAGCCAATGACATTTTCGAAAGACTTTTCTTTTCAGAAATAGTCGTTACCTTTGGTTGCCATGTTCTTGTTAGTGACCTTAGAAATTTTAGGTTCAAGTCACTATTTGACAGCACTTTGCCAAATGCAACAAGATGATTTGTGAGATGTGTAAATCTCTTTTGAAGATCCAAGATCTTCTCTCCAGGTCTCATATGAAACATCTCGTATTCCTGGGATAGAGTGTTGAGTTTCGATCTCTTTACCTCTTCTGTACCTTCATGATTTGTCTCCAAAGTGTCCCACATTTCCTTAGCAGATTTGCAGTTGGACACTCTAAAGAACTCATCTATTACAAGTGTCTGTGAGGATGTTCTTTGCCTTCAAATCATATTGCATTTTCTTCTTATCTTCATCATTCCATGAAAATCCTCATCCTGATTTTCCAGAAGTCGTAACACTCTCCAACGAAACTTGGAGGTCTGTTTATGTTGGAGCCTTCTCCTAGGAATGATCTTGAGGTCATGTTGTAGTAGAATCAGGTTTTGAGAATAACTTACTCAAAAATAGCTCTGGTGCCAATTGTAAGAACGAGATTGCAACTAAGAAGGCGGTGAATTAGTTGTTGCAATAAGTATGGCCAATTTTTTTGCAATATCAAAGTTAATGTACAGCGGAAATATTATGCAGAAAAATATTGACTAAGAAGGATAGAATATTAACAACGAGAAGGGAAAGAGAGTACACAAGTGTTTTATACTGGTTCACCTTCTTGTCTACCGAAGGCTACGTCAAGTACTCTTGACGCTCAAGAGATTCCTTTATTAAATATAATGAGTTGCAATTACAATTATCTCACCCCGAGATCTCCTTGTACCTTACACACTCACTTATATCTAATCCCTTGGAAAACTCTATTCCAAGTCACACCCTTGGTAAACACTATACCAAGTTACACCCTTGGTAAACACTATACCAAGTCACTCAACCCCTTTCTCTTCACACCCTTGTGAAAGAAAATAAACTTTGCAAAAGTGAAGAATGTACAATTTGGCTTGGATTGCCTTACAAGTGTATATGACAATTTCTAGAACTTGCAATCCAATAACAACTCTTTATACTTGAGATAATAATGCTCTTTAACAGTATGAAAAACACTTAGAAGCAACTTCAAAATAACTTTGAAAGTTTAAGAGTAGGTTGCTTGAAGTGTAAGAATAATCAGAAAGTGTGAGAGCTTTTAAAGAGAGTTTGAAATCTGAGTTGTTTGTATATGTGTTGTTCTTTTTTTTAGAGTGTTTCAATGCCTTTATATAGGCTTCCAATCAACCATAATACCCCTAGTTATGAGTAGGTTTCGTTTGGAATGAAAAGCAATCAGTTTGGAGTGAAACCCTTTCACTTGATATCTGAAAACTGATACAACAACTCTTAGTAATCGATTACTGCAAGTGGGTAATCGATTACCCAACAATCCTGTTAACAGCTTTTTGAAATTTCACACAATGTAATCGATTACTGGATTTGAGTAATCGATTACTCAATGACATTGTTTGACATCTTTGTGAAATTACCTTAGTGTAATCGATTAAACTACTTTGAGTAATCGATTACCCTGTTTTCTAAAAATGGTAATCAGTTACTCCAAAGTCTGTAATGGATTACTCATAGCTGTTAGAGGTTTGGAAACTCTTTTCTCACTGATGTAACTTGTTACTCAAGTATGGTAACCCGTTACATGTGGTTTTTGAAAATTATTTTTATTCACACTTAGACTTTTCTGATTTTTTGAAAAAAAATTTGAGCATTATTAACTAAGTAAATATTTGAGTTGTAAGGATAGAAGTACCTAAAGACTTAGACTCTAAATCTTGAAGCTTTGTCTTCGATAGTCTTTATGGGTCATCTTCCTTTCTTCTTTTTGTGATGTTGGTGTCTTCATCAAAACCGTGCCAAGGTCAGGAGCAAGATCTTATTCACAAGGTGCAGATGAAGCCTTTTATGAAGCTTGAGAGCATTTTTAGGTGCTACTGAGAAAATGTTCCAATCATGGTTTTGAAGATGTGGATAAACTCAACATATTCTACAATGGATTGAAGCTTGAGACCAAAATGATTTTAGATGCAGCAGTAGGTGGAACAATAATGGTTGTGGATGTTGAACAAGCTACAAAGATTATAACTGCCTTATCATCAACAGATAGGCAAGCACAACATAAGTGGAGGTCAGTACAACAAAGAGGAATGCTAGACTTAAACACATCTGATGTTATTCTGGCACAAAACAAAATTATGACTCAACAAATTGAAGCACTTACAAAGCAAATGTCAAAGTTGCCACAACAATTGCATGTTGTGCAATCTGCTCCGAGTCAACAACAAGTGCTGAGATGTGATTTTTGTGGAGATGAGCATGTAACTGGCCACTATTCAATGTCAAGTAACAGTCGTGAGGAAGAAGTGCAATATATCAACAATCTACCTCCACAAGACAATTTTTCCAACAACCCTTTGTACAATGGTCAATTTTCACAAGGTTGGATGGGTAATCAGAATCAGAATTATGGTTTGAGACCAGATTCAGGACCATCAAACAGACAACTGTTAGGTGTGAGCGGTCAATATGTCCGCTTTTCGAAATTGTGCGATGAGAATCAGAAATATACAGAAACAATCGATTAACAGCAAATATAATCGATTAACACAGACAGAGTTAATCATTAACACAGAAAAACAATCGATTATTCAGTGCAGAAAACCCAAAAATAGAATTTTGATAAAATGGTTTCTTGGCAAATAAGCTATGCAAGAATCATGCAAATACTTATCAAGATATCACAGACAGCACACATCAATTATCAAGATATCAAAGACTCAATCTTTATGAATAAAGATTCAACCTTTTTGTATAAAATATACTTTTTAATGCAACCTACTAAAAGGATGAAAGATGGCTCTCAAAAAGGATTTTGGCAATCTTACGAGCGGATGAGAAGATCATCATTTGGGTTACCCTACCTAGACTCAATACTAAGCAATGATCTTAGGACTTCTAAAATGGAAAAATAAGATACCTTCCTAGAGTCTTGAGTCTTGGTCATGTTGTTTGTTTAGGAGTCAGGTCTTCAAGCTTTTCAGATCGACTTTGTCTTCATCGAAACATAGGCAGGAAAATGATGATGTTACAATCACACTAGTTGACTTCACTTGCAATCTCAACAACCACCTTTTTAGCAACCATTCCATCTCTCCACAATAAGTGCCCCAAATCATATGCAATTTATTCATAACAATGCACTTAACAGTGATATACAAAGAGTCAAACTCATAAATAACAAAGAAATAAATTGAAGGCCGACGGGGAGCACAAAATCGAAAGGCCACATTTATTTCGATGAAAATTTGACAATAAAAAAACCTGTAGTTATCAATGAATATAAACATCGGTTAGTTATTGAGGTTTTTTATTAAGTTGAAAACTCAAGAATATAAATATGGCAGCAGTTAGAAATTGATCGAGGTCGTACCTGATGCAAATAATAACACAACTAAGTATAGTACTAGGAAGTGACTCCTAGGTCATCTCCAAACGATTATCTTACATATAAATGTTCAAACACCATACACTCACACACACAGGGGGGTTTTGTTGGTTTTATGGTATGAAATTAAAGGCATTACAGAACATAAATAGTAACAAATAGAAAAGTAAAACGACTAAATCATTTTGGTTTCTTCATTCACAACTCAATCATTGGTTTCAAATGATCAAATCTAGATTCTCAGTGATCATTTGTTGACATTCGATTAAGTAAGCGATGATCAACTCACAATTAAATTGTCAAGCCTCAAACTAAGCGATTATCAATTTACAACTCTAATGTCTAAGTTTCAAACTAAGTGAAATCAACATAAACACGAAGCATTTAGTAGATTCACATAAACTAAGCGATTATGTGCTAGATAACTAATTGACTAATAAGCGAAAATCACTTCACAAACCTACAACAAAACCATGGAATTAGGCAAACCATAATCTGGAATAGGATAGAAGATTCAACCATGAACAAACCGAAATTGCATTGAAGAATAAAGAGAAACCGAAATGCATTAAGAACTAAACCTCAAGAGTGTGATTCGTTAACAAAGGAATTTAGTCCAAGGTATAGCATTCCATGGAGGAAGAAGCAAAACCGAAAATGAAGAAAGGAAGAAGAAAGGAAAACGAAAACCTAAGCCCCAAAATGGGGAAAACGAAAATGCCATCTATTCTAAAGTTGGAATGTAAAGTGTAATGTTCTAATGTCTTATTTGAAAGAAAGGAAATGAAAATGTCTTACTTTTATTTTTATAATTTATGTTTAGGATAAATTTCAGATATCTAATATACTTTAGATTTAACATTAAATATCTCGTGGGCCTACTAAAATTATATAGGTTGATGGAGTTGTGCTAGGAATGTTTTCACTCATGGGTAGAGTTTTGCTAATTAAATTAATATAAGTTGTTTTCTCCATATTCATTATATATAAAACAATGTTGTAAAACCCGAATCTGGCATCAAGCAAGAAGAACTTCCGTATTAGGTCTAACCGGTTTAAATAGTTAAGTTGTCTGATCGGAACGAATGATTTTAAATATAATTAATATTTTTTATCTATAAATGTAAAATTTTATATAATTAATAATTTTATATAACTATATTGAAATAATATATTTCTATATTTTTTGGACCGAAATAAAACAAAACATTACATTAATATTCCATTTTCTTTAAAATTTAAGTGAACCGTCCGGTTTTCCCCTGGGTTATTCCTGTTTAACCGGGTTTAGCACGGTCGAATCGGAATTTCGCCAGTTTAAAGCGGTCCAACTACTCATTCGGTTAAAACTACAAAACAAAACTGTTTTCAAATCCGGTCAGCGGTCAAACCAGTTATCACAACCTTGATATAAAATAACAAATTGGCTTAATTATCAACAAAAAAAATTAAATAGTAAATTATCCATTGATATTCATAGTTACAAAATAATAATTAGCACGTCATGCAGTAGACAGATAAAAATACTATGAGCGTGGCATTCCTTCTGATATATATGGTAGTTCTATTCTGCAGCAAACATGTTAATTGTATCAAGGTGAGAGAGTAAAACCAAGGAACTCGTGTCACTTATCATTTATATTATTTATATCTAAAAGTCAATAATGATTAAATATAAACAATTAACATGTTTATACTATGTAATAAATATGATAATCAATTACAGCAAGAATAATATAATACTTATGGGCAGGGAACATATATCTTTAGCGTGAGACTCGGATTAAGCACCCCACATCAGGGACGATAAAATATCCACACACCATTGGTACTTATACAAATACTCAATGAATACTATAAATAATTACTTATAGGTCAGGACCATTATTATCTTACCAGTTCCATGGCTATATATATTTTGATAATTATTTTTTATATTCTAATATTTTATGATTGAAATATTTATGTAATGTCATTGTGAAGTTTTTCGCATGGTTAATATATCATTAATTATCCTTATGTATTACATTTATTTAAGAGTGGATGAATTAATACATTAATATTAAACTCTTTTTTTAGATTACATATAATCTAATTTATTATTATTAATAATGACTTTTAGTGAATGAAGTATAATGACTAAGTTATAATATACATATGTTTTTCCTCATTTTATAATTATTTTTATATATTGATTATTATAAATTATATAATTAAACTTAAAAATATATTTGGTACTTATGAATACATGCTATCTAGATTGGTACCTACAAATTAAACAATTTTTTAGATTATATATAATATCTATTTTATTATTATTTAATAATGACTTTAGTGATTGAATTATAATGACTAAGTTATAATATTCATATGTTATTTCTCATTTTATAATTTTTTTAATATTGATTATTACAAAGTATATAATTAAACTTAAAAATATATTTGGTACTTGTGAATACCCGTTACATGGATGGATACCCATGAATTAAACTCTCTTTTTTAGATTATATTTAATCTATTTCATTATTATTTAATAATGACTTTTAGTGATTGAACTATAATGACTAAGTTATAATATGCATATGTTATTAGAAAGTATATAATTAAACTTATAAATATATTCTGTACTTGTGAATTATCATGCACCAACTATTAAAATTGGCCCATGCAAATACAAAAATGATGTTTAATTGTGTTTGCTAAGCTTTTAGAAAATAATCATTTTATTAAAACCATTATCACAAGAAAATATATATTGAGCACAAGATTAAAACTAATTTGAAAAGTTAAAGTGCAATTTGGAAGTGTTGTTTGTCTTCCTCATTGAACTTCATCCATACTAGTACATGTTGGTTTTAGTTCAAGAGACTCTAGTTAAGGAGCTAAGCGACAAAATTGTTTATAGTTTTTAAGGTTGTGGAGGTTATTAGAAGATGGATTAATATGAAAACTAAAGGCAACTTTTTTACTTTCCAATGGATGTCAAAATTAGTGAAGAAAAACAATGACCAAGGGGTCTTGTGATAAGTTAAATCTAATGCTATGAAGATAAATGAAAATGATAGGAAGAGGGAAAATGGAGAAGATAAGAGATAAGTCCTTATAATACCATAAGAGAAAGATCTTCTGATAAGCTTTCGGTTCAACTAGGAACCTATGAAAACCACTCTCATACTATACACTAAGCACAAGCTCTAAAGAAGATTATTCATGCTCCACTGATTTATAGGCGGCTAAACTAGACAAGAAAGCTAAGGTCAATGAAAATATAAACCTTTGAAAGGTCATATACATCATAAGGAAAATGTGGCTTTTAGCATAGAAGAATTTAAAACCACTTATTCGAAATAGAAATTATAATTATTCAGAAAATGCAAGAAAATCGAAAAGTTGTCGGACCATACACCCAAGTCATAGATAGGTCCAGTGTCGTCTGAGTGTCTAGGTCAGCCTTGATGCTTTAAATCTTCAACATAAAGCATTATCCTTGTTAAATGATTATTCTAGTATAAAGG